TACACCAAAAAGGCATTTTTTTTTTTTTTTTTTTGGTACCAGGGATTGAACTCAGGTCCTTGAGCTTGAGAGGCAGGCAGTGGAACCACTGAGCTAAATCCCCAGACCCAAAAAGAAGTCAATGTTGAAATTTTTGATTTTTTTAAGCACTCAAGAAATATTAAAAATATAGTACTATTTTGTTATTTTTACTGTTTAGTATTCATTATTTAATATATTAAAACTCATAAAATTGAAATTAATAATTCATCCATAGAAATATTCTAAAGAAAAAACTTGGTTATTTATACCCACAACAATGCACCTTTATGACAAAATTGGGGCCATGTCCTTCTTCAGCAATGGGCTGTCAACTACACAATCCATGCAGCTGCTGCGGAGCACAGAGACAGCTGGTGAGAGGTGGGAAATCTCCAGCCTTGTCTTCTCCGTTAGGATGCGGAACAGAACTTCCCACTTCCCTGGGTGTCTAATTACTAAACCGAATCCTGGTGCTGGGCATGCGCTCCACCCATTGACCCCAGTTAATGTAGGGGAGTGCATGTCCAGCCCTATGGGTTCCTGTGATGGAAAAGATTACCTGAGACTCACGAGGAAGTGTTAAACATCTGGTTTGTGTGATTTGTATCAATGCCAGAGATGGTGTCCCCGTGGGGTTCCGTGGTGTAATGGTTAGCACTCTGGACTCTGAATCTAGCGATCCGAGTTCAAATCTCGGTGGGACCTTGCTGTTCTTGACGTCCTTTTGCTTTGGCATCTTTGCCGTCTCCTCTTCGTTCTCGGCACGAAGTTCGTTCTTGCTTTCTACTAGACTGAAATTCTCTGCGTCTGAATCTACTGTGTGTTTCTTCCAGCATTTGTTGAAGCATACAGAAATAATTTTACCCATGAACACGGTGGAAAGAGCAGGGAGATAGATAAAAGATTCTACTCCGGGCCTCTATACAGGAGAATCGATGTATCTATTGGGTTTGCCCACCATAACAGGACAACTTCTGAGCTCTTTCCTTTTACAGCTAAAAAGTTGTCCGGTACAAGTGAGCCTTTTGTCTCTTCTCTAATCAGTCTTGGATCCCAAATACACATTCTCTCTGTTGAAAAATTCCTTTTCAGGACGGGATGTCCATAGGCTCGCCAGGCTGCTGTGTGGGGACGCTGTTCCGAAAGTGGGGAGACACCCTGCAAGGACAGGCGACCCCGACCCTACTCCTAGATCACGCGACACGGCGCGCACGCTGGCCCGGAGCCGGCAGCGTCCCAGCGGAGGTCGAGGTCGGAAAGGGAGGAAGCTCAGTCGGTGACAGGGCCGCTGGGTCGCTGTCGGTCTTGAAGTACAGGGGAAGCATGCAAGCCAGGGCGCCAGACGGCTAAAACTGTAGTCAGCAGGACTCGAACCTGCGCCGAACCTGCGCGGCAAGACCCCAATGGATTTCAAGTCCATCGCCTTAACCACTCGGCCACGACTACCTGCTTTTGTAGAAATCTGAGGTGAAAAAAACAGCGTATGCGTGGACCGGCGCCCGGGCGTGGCCACGGAGAGCGGCGGGTCCCACCCTGCAGTGTCATGCACGGGAAGCCCCCTAGCGCCCCAGCAGGGAAGGGCTGGAGGAGGAGCCCGGCCGCGCCAGCCGCTACTGTGCACGGCCTAACTCGGGAAGCCCTACGCAGCACCGGACCGCCCGTCTGGCTCGCTACGCAGGGCTCCCGCCCGGAGGGTGTCGCGTGGACCCGGGACCTGAGCGGGGCGGGGAGGAGAGGGAACAGCCGCATTCCGCCCACCTCCGAAACGCGCAAAAGGATGAAGTAAGCGAATGTCAGCTCCGCTAACGTCATGGGGGAACCTCGTGCGTGACTGCCGTGGGTGGTGTCCAGTGGGGCGTGACAGGAGTCTCGGTCACAGACTGCGCCTGCAGGTCCGGGATGGATCGGAATCGCTGGAGCCCTCTCCGAGGGAAATAATCGTGCCGGAGGAAATACACACTGCACAAAAACCCCGATTTTACATTATGATCATGAAAAGTAGAGATTAGAAGCACATTTTTTGTTCCATCTGTCTGATAAAAAAATCACAAAGCCACTAAAAAGAGTATGTCAAGCGACTGCAATTGCTCATGTTATTGATGAGAGCGGTATGTAATACCAGAGGGGCAGTTTTTTTTTCTGTGGAATTCTGGGGTCCCCGGAAAAGGAACATTTCAGAAATGTTGCCAGTGCTGGTTTCTGGACTGTGGAATTATGCGTTAGTGTCTGTTTTTCTACGGTGTGAATAAATCATTGTTATCCAAATATAGTGTTATAAGCGAACTAATAGCTAGATTTGGGGGGGTTTTGAAAGTGAACTAAATAAAATTCAACACAGCTAGTTATCCTAAGTGACTCTCTCTTTTTCGTTTATCTGTAGTCGTGGCCGAGTGGTTAAGGCGATGGACTAGAAATCCATTGGGGTCTCCCCGCGCAGGTTCGAATCCTGCCGACTCCGAGTTCTTCTCCTTCCTACTTTGACTGAGTGTTTGTTGTCTTACAATTTTCATTCTTTGTGATTTCAATTAAAAAAAATTAACTAGCATGCTTCCGAAAACAATGTGGAAAAAATTATAATTCTTTTTGGTTTTAAGTAATTCGAGCACATTCCTTTTTCTTCCTACTACAGCCCAAGCGTAGGCAATGCTTTTTGCATTTTTGTGGCTATCAAAAAACTGGTTTGAAAGGCTTCCTTTCGTGAAGAAAGTTTGGCGGTGTGTGCGTCTCCACAAAGCTCTTCCCTTATCTGGGCTGTCGTCATTCAGATCAGAAAAGAAGCCTCAGGGAACTCGGGTTGGATCCAAGCGAAGCTGCCCTCCCTCTGGCCTGGCCCCAGGCTCCTCCCACCTTCCCCGAGCCAACACCCTAGCCCTGCTGAGAATAGAGAAACGGGAAGAGCCAGCTTGACTAGAATCTCAGCGAGTGTGGACACTCTCTCTGCAACCTCATTTACAAGGCTGTGACTCAGAGGGCTGCCTTTCTTCTGCAGCTACAAGCTTAACATTAAGAGTTTGGCGAGCTGGAGCCTTGTTAGTTAAATTACATTATGCAATGTGGAAGAACATTTGAGATGCGCGGTCGCCCTGCTTGTCCCCACTGTCTTCCGTGTGTCACCACCTTGGTAGTAACTTTCACAAGTGTGTGTTTGGGGTCAGGGCCTCTTGCTGTAGGAGGGTGCAGGTTTCTCTGGACAGCTCTTCCAATCCCGAGACGGGTGAGAATCTTTTCTGGCAACTTCTTGGCTGTAGAGGGGGACAGAGACTTGCCAGGGTTGTTTGGGAAAATGTGTAGAATATGTGGGCTTTTGAACCATTCGCTCCAGATAAAATCTGCACAGACTTTAGGCCCCGAGGCCGAGGCATCCTCTGTGCTGATGAGGTCCAGAGCTGCACAGAGTGCAGCAGCAGGTGAGAGGTCAGAGAAGCCTCAAGGCCTCCCTTCCAGGGAGGGACAGGGACCTGCTCCTCTCAAGCCACCCTGGCAGCCCTGTTACTGTACAAGAACTGGCCTGGGGGAAGACTATCATTTTGCCATGAACTCCACCCAGATCTGTATGATGGCCTCTGGGTCTTGTCTGAAATCTTTCTCCAAAGACCAGACATGAAGAATTGAGGCAAGTTGCCAGTTCCTTGCTGCGTGAGGAATCTGCTACCCAGTTCAAATCTACACTCAGGATTAAGCAGTGTGCAAAGCTTTATCGGAACTGGTTATGCTCAAGTATACTTCTGAGGTTGAAGGCAAAAGCAGCCACATTCATAACCAGAGAAACGACTGTCAGGCCTTGCATGGCCATGCACTAATCCCATTGCCAACTTAGACCTGCCCCACAGCTCTCAGCACCCACGGGCTGCCACTTTCCTGGTGGGAGTTCCTCCGTGGGACTTTCTTCCCCATAGCCTCTGCAGCCTCCCTCCACCTGGACATGGGAGTCCTCACACACTGTGTATGCCTCCTCTTAGTGCCTTTGTGCTGCCAGCCACAAGCTTTCCCCACCCTTCTTGCATGGCTGATTTCTCTCTGTAGAGCATTCCCCAGAGGTGCTAACCCACCAGGACAAGGACTATGCTTGTTTTAATTACTTTTGTTTCTGGAGCACCAAGTATAGCCAACATTTGGCCTGACACAAGAACACTAACATTATTTGTAGAAATGATGACCTCAGAGCTTCTAACATAACATTTAGTTCACAGTAAGAACCTCGCTCAGATTTTTAAAATTGAATCTGTGGATGTTTTTCAATCCAAATTCTGATCTCAATCCCTTTCCACTTCTAGGTTACACTCCTTTTAGAATAGCTGTAAACTATTAGAGACCCCTGCAGTTAAGTACCTACCTAGCCAGTATATGACACAGGCCTGAGGGAGGAAAATACACTAAGAGACAGAACTAGGAGAGAAAGCCAGGGCCAAGACAGCCGATGCTGGTAAACTGACAAAGGCGCTGGCCAGTCCCAGGCACTGACTTACTGGCAATCAACTGGAGCAAAGGCGAGCTATGAGTGATTTCTTTGGAAATAAATGTAACAAGGCTCAAAAAGGACAAGACAAAGCATTCTCAATCTAGGAACAGAATAGACAAAATATACAGTTGTAATTAGAAATTGTCCTTCTAGTTAGAGGGTTTTATTTGTGGGATCAAAATTTGAGTGCCAGTTACTCTGACCGTGGTACATAGGCCTCAGCCAGACTCTCTTCTCAAAACAAGCCAATTGTGGAGTTTACGCTTCACAGCCTGCTTTGGGCATAGTCAGTATTACAGTCCTCTGCCGTAAACTAGTCAGAAGGTGGCTGCACACAGGGCCATTATTTGGACCTTAAGAGGCAGTTCAATTACCGAAGGAGAGGAAGTTATACCTCAAATTTTGCATGCTCTGGTTTTATGCCTTCCATTCGGCAAATTCCCTTCCTAATACACATTCTCTGTCTGTGCTCACTTGAGGTGTAGAATAATGCTCCCTCAGGCTGCTAGATCCTGTGCATTTATGTGTTGGTTACAGAGACAACACAGGGGCTGGCCTGCATAGGAAGGTGCTCACTGTCAGTGCATTGGGTGGAATTAAACTAAAATTCACTGTAGGCAGGAGTTAATGTCAAAAGCGATCCTTCTGTTCTCTTCTGAAAGATGGCTGGTGCAACAGGAACCCAAAGGCTGGGCCTGCAGACCCCCAGTGGGTAACTGGTGACAGGATGAAACCTCAGCCCTGAGGACATTGCTGCTCTCTCTAGTTTGTCTCCTTTATTTCCTTAAACTTTGGGACAGATCCCTCTGAGCTCTGCACACTGGTGTACTAGTCCCTCTGAGAGTTACCATATCACAAGTCTGTTAGTGCTAAATATGCCTAGCCCAGTGGTGGTGGACCTGCTCACACATGTTATTTATTTTTCAAGAAGAAAGATGTTAATGTATGAGTTGTTTTCTCTAAACCAAAACCTTAGTACCCAGGTTTAATTGAAGTACTGACATTTTGAGATAAATAAGTGTGTTTTTTGTTGCAGTTTGGCTTCTTGTTTCTAAAAGGTTCGCCATTGGTGGCCTTGCCTCTCTCCTCCCCCTTCAAGATTAAGCACACCAGTTAAGAGTGACTAGCTTTCAGGGCTTGCAGGAACATCCAATTGCCAGGTTTTACTCTGTCCACTTTCAGACTCCCTGGAGAGGCCTAGAAGTCTCCAGCCATTGTCCTAAAGCTGCAGCCACCTTGGATTCCAGGAAAAGCAGCCTGGGGACCACCCTGCAAGCAGGAGCACTTGCTCCATGACAGGTGCCAAACCTGCCCTCTTCCAGCAGGCAGTCACCTGGGAGTGTGAGTGGGGACTGAGACTTTGCTCAGCCAGACTCCAGGGCCCCGGATGCTGGTCTGCTCTTCACAGGTCAGAGTGGTTGTCTTGTCAGATCTTTCCTCTTTACTCCTATTCTCTGTCAGAATTATGCCCCTTCAGCTCTCAGCTCCTCACTCTAAAGTCCCTACCATTTTCTCTGATTCCCTTGTAGAATATCAGCTTTTAAAAATTCCCACTCTTCCGGAGAGACCTTTCCCCTTCTCCCTCCAAGTGGATGAATGGACCAACTTATTTCAAGGGGATGTGACAGATCTTGGGAGGGCAGGGAGTGATATTTTCCTCTACCAACCCAATGACAACTATCCATTACATTACATGGCAGAGAATTCTATGTGTAACAGGTTTTTACCAAGTAGCACAGACAGCTGAATATTAGGAATGCCTCTTTTCTGTTTGTTTTAATTTTTTTTGAGACAGGCCCTTGCTACACAGTGCAGGCTAGCCTCGAGCTCATTATGTAGCCCTGATCCTGTCTCAGCCACCACACCCCCTTTCATATGTCAGAATCTGCAGCACAGAAAGTGCGCTCTGTCTGGGTGGGTCAGATTCTGAGGACGCCTGTAGCTCCTCACCGTGTGGAAAGTTTTTGCTTCTCCCACACCCCTTGGG